ATAAACAATCATTTTGTATTAGAAATCTGAATGTATATACCAGCCTTGTTGGCAGTGCAGTCAAGTGATAATCTGAGGGTTTGGGTTCCTATTGTAGCAATACAATATCAAAATATACTTTATTTTTCTTTGACTTCCTACTAAGTTAAATATCTTGAGATTTTTATATTAATTACATTTAAGATGTTTGTTGAAGCTTATACATATAGGTAACTGAAAAAAACTAATGGCAGGTATAAAGCAGGTGTGCGTAGCCCATGGACTAAACGCGTCTGCCCATGAGGGAACATTGTAGATTGACGTCACAAAAGTAGTGAGATTCGTACGTTATTAGCTCAAGAATGAAAGTGTTCTAAACATCACTTGGGAATCTAAGATAGTGGAGCGTACTCAGGACATTTATAAAGGTCACCCTAGTTGATCGGCAAGACTGGTAGGTACCGCAGCTTTTGAGGCGCTACAGAAAATCAATTTTGGTTAGTGGGATCCACACATAGATTATGAAATACCTCGAGAAAATAACATGTAAAAATGGGAAAGGAGGATATACCAGCTTGGATTCATAACTCAGTTGGGAGAGCAGCAATAGAGTTAAAGGTTTAACTGTACATTTCTCGCTTATAACATGAGGCTTAAAATATGAAATTATGATTGACTAACAGGGGGTCGTCTTATATGTGCAACACACACATTTTTTTTTGCTTTAAAATGTTCATCTTATGTGCGGATCAGCAGAATTTACTACTGAAGTAAAGAATAGTATGCGCATGTATGCCTGATTTTTTTAAAGTTTTAATTCAATGGTTTTACAATGAAATCCATGAACTTTACCAAGCCTAGACCTTAATTTGGCTGATGGCAATTTAAAGACTAAATGCAGGCATGGTCCCAGTGGATCATATCAAAAGGAGGAATTCTGACTATGGAACGGGGAGGGGGGTCGTTTTATACGTCGGACATACAAAAATTGTCCAAAAATCTTCTAAAACTAGGGGCGTCTTATACGAGAGAATATATGGCAGATGGAGACCAAATATTTCTTTAAAAAGTATTTTTGTGTATTTAACTTTTCATTGTCATAATATGTATTTGAACACCATGGTACAGTCCCACTATAGTTACATGATGATTGGATGATGGTTATTAACTTAGAATACACCTTTCCGGAGTGTCAATCAAACTTAGCAACTGACCAATCAGAACAGCGCTAGGGATACACGCACGTCTCACAAACACACGTGTTGTCCCACAAACGCACGTGTTCGCCTATGTTTTAACATTGTCGTCTTGTGGGACCTTAGCAACAATATCCAAGGGGCGGGGCTTAGCTCCTGTCTATCAAATTTCATTTGACAAAAAATAAAACATGTGACACGCCTAAATATGATTTTGATGACATATAAAAACCATATATCATGAACACAATATAATATAATTTATTCAGGAAACGAATATTTCGTCTTGTCCTCACGACTTCATCAGCATAACAAGACTTCATCAGTGTTACGCTGATGAAGTCTTGAGGACAAGACGAAATATTCATTTCCTGAATAAATTATATTGTGTTCTACTGTCTAACTCAACGTTTCCGCATCATTATTTTATGTCTTATTTTCTGTAGATGTGTATAAGAGACAGGTCAAGTGATAATCTGAGGGTTTGG